TGATCCGGTAGAGCTGGTCGGGTGTATAAGGAAGAGGGTCTTCCCCCTCGACGGCGCCGCCTTTCCCCCTCCTTCCTCTCCCCTCATCGGGGCCTCCTTCTCGCCCTCCTTTCGCTTCCCTTTCCCCATCCTTCGGCAGGTCGCGGTATGGTGTCTTGGCTTCGGGTGCGCAAAGCGAGGAAGAGGACGGGGAGGCGATGGAGGGGGAGGTGCTAGACGGGGGGCAGGCAGAGAGGAGAAGGTCGATCGTGGCGTAGTCTGAACACAGCGCTGCTGCCATCAAGGGGCTCAGGCCTTCCTCATTGTCCCTAGCATTTATATTTGCCTCCATTTCTGTTTCGTTCCCTTTTCCCCGCGCTTTTTCCTTCTTTCTATCTTCCTGCGACAAAATACGTTGCAGATTCCTTAAGTCTCCTGCCTTGGCGCACGCAAACAAGGATAACGACCCTTCGTCTTCTTCCTCTCCTCCACCTTCACGTCCAGTATTTTTCCCTAGTACGGAAGGAGACGCTGCATCCATGATCGCACGCAGATGACAATGGCCTCCCACCCATTCCCCCTCACTCACTCCCTTCTTCCCTCCTTGCCTCGCCAGACCCTCTTTCCATGCTTCCATTTCTCGGTTGTACCGCTCTCGGTCCCACATGGCCTTTGCTACATAAGCAGCTTTCTGTGCATCAGAACGTGTGTTCCAAAGTCGCAGGAGCCGATGTATGACTGCGATAGGGTTTTGCCTCTCGGTAGTTACAGACAACGAGGCGTGCACATTCGCCTTCTGGTCGAGGCAAAAGAAGAAATAAGGCGAGCAGGGAGGACATGGGGCCGTGTAGCGGAGATGGATCACATCAAGGTCGAGAACCCAGCTCAAATCCGCTGAAGCAGCTTCTGCTGACGAGGGAAGTGCAGGGAGAGCTGCCAATGGAATTGAGGAAGAGGGCCCCTTTCGACGCAGAAGGTAACGTGGGAGACGGGGCCTCTCATGCGAAGTCATAATAGCGACTTTGTCCTTTTGCGGCGCAACAGGAAGGCGCCTTTCAGATGCTCGTTCACCTTTCTTCAGATGTGTTGTGTTTTAGGGGTGCGGATTGGGAATGAGACGGAGCGAAACCCCAAAAAGGATACATGTCCCCAATAGAAAGTTGACAAGTCAGACGGACAAAAAAGAACTTGAGGGCTTTAGTCTTCTACGCCTAATCAGCTCTTTGCGCGTGACGGAAGAGATTGCCTCTTCCTAAAAGCCCTGTTGTTGCTCACGGGAACAACAACCGGGTTGGTAGGAAACGGTTTTCTGTCAACGGGTTTTTAAAAACCTGAAGCATCACTATATGCCGTACTCCATCCTTGACTCCAGGCCCTTCCACGTAGGGTGCGCGATCAACAAGTTGGCTAGATCACTCTTATGGGTGTTTATCATGCATTTCGGAGCGAGTAGGGACGT